TCACTGCTGCTCTCTCTCCTTGGGCAGGGGGACTGGTCTCGTCTCCGCCCCCCTCCTGTAATAAAGACCGCTCACTGCTGCTCTCTCTCCTTGTGCAGGGTGACTGGTCTTGTCTCCGCCCCCTCCTGTAATAAAGACCGCTCACTGCTGCTCTCTCTTTAGATTCCCCTTAGATTAAGGGGAAACAAACAAGACCTACACAAACCAAAAAACACAACAAAAGATGAGACAAAGAAAAAGGGTCATAATAGGAAAGACAGAAGAGAAGGAGAGGGGAGTTCACCTTTAATGATGATTACATTTGGCCATTACATCATTTTTCCACAAGGTGGCGACGTTGCATTTAAGATTTTCCTTGACCCCCCCAAGCATTGTAAACTGTAACTACAGAGAATGCGGAATTACAGTCACATGTCTGTGATCAGAGAAAACGAGCATCGCTCCTGCAGGAAATGCAGGACAGGGAGCACTTGCCCACTTCATACTGTCATTTTGCAGCGGCTGGAAGATGTGGAACATTTTGCATTGGGTTCTGGGTTTAAGTGGTTCTTAATGCAACCTGGTAATGGTAGCATAATTAAAGCCCAACTCTGGACTCACCCCTACAACCCAGCTTTTCTTGCCATCTGCGTGAAGGGAGATTTCCCTCCACTTCCTGTCTGATAGCCACAACAGGAAGTAACCGGAAATCCCTGGTGGTCAGCAGGGTCACCAGAACTAGTGTCCCCGACTGGAAGATTTCCCATCTATTGCTGTTCTGGTGACAACCCAAAATTTGGGGGTTTCTTTCACTTTGAGTGATAACGGTCCCCAGGACAAATGAAGGGAGAGTGAATCTCTCTAACAGCAGGGACACAGACAATAAACACTTAAAAGGAGTTCTAATCCCTCTCTCTCTCCCCTGTATCCAAAACTAAGGGGGGGAAAAACAGTTTTGGCTTCAGTTACTCTTTGAATGAAATGGAGGAAAAAGTCATCCCTGCTCCCTGCCTGCATTGTATGGTTCCATAAAGAGTTTCAATTAGACAGACACGGCCTGAAAGCGAGCAGCTTGTGGAAAATGTATAGTTGTAAAACAAATATTTTTATATACATCTATTATTTACATTATGTTATAGTAAATTTATATTATATGTGTATAAAATTAAATTATATGTAGAACATACATAATAAAAAAAACGATACTAGTATCGGTATCAAAGCCGATACCGAGTATTTGCTCCGATACTTACTCCCGATACCGGAACCTCTGGAACATGGAGCTGGATTCCCGGCCAATGAGGTAATGACTCGTGTCCCTGCTTCCTGATTGGCCAGGAAGCCGACACCATGCTGTTTGGCCAATCAGCATCGAGCCGGCCAAACAGCATGGGGCGGGCTTTCTGACCAATCAGGAAGCCAGGCTGTGAGTAATGACCCGCCTTCCAGCTTCCTGATTTACCGGGAAGCGTGCTTCCCAACCAATCAGCATGGAGTCGGCTTTCTGGCCAAACAAGAAGCCAGGCTGTGAGTAATGACCTGCCTTCCAGCTTCCTGATTTACCGGGAAGTGTGATTCCCGACCAATCAGCATGGAGTCGGCTTTCTGGCCAAACAGGAAGCCGGGCCGTGGGTAATGACCCCCTCCCAGCTTCCTGATTGGCTGGGAAGCTAGCTCCATGCTTATTGACTGGGTAGCAGGCTTCCTGTCCAATCAGCATGGAGCCGGCCAAACAGCATAGAGCCTGCTTCCCTGCCAATCAGGAAGCCGGGCAGCGAGTAATGACAGCGAGTAATGGGAAGCCGGCTCCATGCTAATGGAAGTACTGGTACTTGGTATAGGCGAGTACCGAATTATAATTATCAGTACTCACCGATAAAATAACGGTATTGGTGCATCCCTAGTGTATATATATATATTATATGACTATAAATAACGATAACATGATCATTTCCTTTTAGGTTTATTACATTCCTGTGTATTCAGTACCTATATAATTAGGATTCCCTTGTGATTGGTCGGATGCCTCTCGCAGTGCGGCTCGTCTTGGTGCCTGTCGCAATTCTTTCCTCGCGGTCTCTTATACACCAAGCTGGCCATTTATTTGTGTTTATTCCATTGTGCGCGCCGAGCTGTCCGGGACTCTGTCAAAGCTGTGCAGCTGTAAGAGGAGCTCTTGGTATCTGTAAAAAGACTTAAAATAAGACTGACCTCGTCACATTCGTAGCCGGTCCCATAAATATCACTTTTTTTTCTGGAGCCCCGGCATACAAGACGCTCCTTCTTGCGTCTAAAATTGGCTCATTGGGAATAGTCTGTGTGCCTGCAAAGCTG